AGAGGGCGATCCGCCAGCGGCACAGCTCTTCCAGCGAACGCGGGCTTTCGTGCATCCTGAACTAAGTTTTGCAGGGTGTAAGCGCATGCCCTTGCGCTCCTACGTGTCTTTGCTAATCTCATCGTTGCTCCTCTCCGAAGAGTTGATCGTGAACAAAAATAAACACAAACTCAGTCGTTGTACTGAAGCGTGGCCTTAATTTAGCTTAGGAAAACCTTGAGTGAAACATCAGAGGCAGTAGGCACAGTGGGATTTCTTACATAAGTAGTTACGCGCTGATTCAGTGGGCGCCAGCAGGACTGACGTGCAAATGACAGTGATATGTTGATACGTTACTCTGGTGTTGTGCCGTACTGGCAATGTACAAATGCACAGAGTATTTGGCAAAGAATCACTTGTTCAGTATGTCTTAGCACACACAACAAATAATAATTGAAATGTTTACGGACACCAATAAATAACCTTCAGTGTAGTTAAGTGCTGCAGTTAAGTCTAAATTATATTTTGTAGGCTTTACTTATTGTCTTCAGTCATCTCCACAAATGTAGAATCTGGATGCTGCTCCAGAGTTCCGGCTGTTTGGTGACTTTGAATTTGAACATAGTGATAGCTTGAACTTGAAAATGGGCTGATCCGAGGTGTGAGATACAGCTGCTATCAACTTTAGGTACAGAAACTGGCGTAGTCTTCTTGCAAAGCAGAAGACAGCTTGGATGTATTGTGTGTTGCTTTGATGGCAGTGTAGTTACCTACTTGCAGTTGAATAATCTTGCTTAGACTAGACTAAGGTAAGATAACCTGATACAAATCTGCAGTACAGTTAGGTGTAGATGGGTGAAGTGACTTGCCAGAGGTCATTGAAGAAGCCTGAGGCAGAGCTGGCTGGTTACACAATCTTTGATGCTCATTGCTTCTTCTGCCATATGGAAAGGAGCTTGGTAGTTTGCTTTATTATTTTTTTCTGTCTTTCTTACAACCCTGGTTTTCAGTCCGCCAGAGCAAATTTTTTCAAAGAACATTATTTGCAAAATTTCTCTAAAATTCAGCTATAATTCTGTTAAATGTATGTCACTGGAACAGTATTATGAAAAATAAGACAAAATAAGATGGACAGGCTGGATCGATGGGCTGAGGCCAATTGTATGTGCTGTGTCCTGCACTTGGGTCACAACAATCCCAGGTGACGCTACAGGCTCGGGGAGGAGTGGTTGGAAAGCTGTCCGGCCAGAAAAGGACCTGGGGGTGTTGGTTGACAGCTGGCTGAATATGCGCCAGCAGTGTGCCCAGGTGTCAAGAAGGCCAATAGCATCCTGGCTTGTATCAGAAATAGTGTGACCTTCAGGAACTTCCAGGGCTAGGGAAGTACCCCTGTACCTGGCACTGGTGATGCTGCACCATGCTATGGCAAATACTGTGTTCAATTTTGGGCCCTTCACTATAACAAAGACATTGAGGTGCTAGAGAATGTCCAAAGAAGGGCAATGAAGCTGGTGAAGGATGTAGAGCATGAGCCTTATAAGGAGCAGCTGAGAAAACTGGGGTTGTTTATCCTGGAGAAAAGGAGGCCAAGGGGAGACCTTATTGCTCTTTACAACTACCTGAGAGGAGGTTGTAGTGAGGTGGGTGTTGGTCTCTTCTCCCACGTAACAAGTGACAGGACAAGAGGAAATGGCCTCAAGTTGTGCCAGGGGAGGTTTAGATTGGATATTAGGAAAAATTTCTTCCCCAAAAGGGTTGTCAAGCGTTGGAACAGACTGCTTAGGGAAGTGATTTAGTCACCATCTCCAGGAGTGTTTCAAAGATGTGTAGAAGTGGTGCTTAGGGACGTGGTTTATTGGTGGACTTGGCAGTGCTAGGTGAACAGTTAGACTCAATGATCTTAAAGGTCTTTTTCAACGTTCTATGATTCTGTGATATTATTTGAAAAAATACCTTCAGCAACCTACTTTTATTGTTTTCATTTTCTTATGTTTTTTTTTATTATGTGCTTACAGAATTGTAGGTGACGATGATGAAGGAAAGCTCTTTACCCCTGAGGAATATGAAGAGTACAAAAGAAACGTATTACCAATGCGGTTACAGAACAGGTTGTACGTGAGCTGGAGATCACCAACTGGCATGGACTGTAAGCTTGTGGGACCGGAGACGCTGTGCTTCTGTACTCACCGGTAGGAATCTTTTAATTTCTTTGAACTGTTTTATTTTTTAAAATAAGGAAAATGTAAAATGTTTCCAGATACATTACAGTACAGTATAGGCAAGTTTATTTAAGGTCTAAGGGTTGAGAAAATTCGGTTTTAAATCATAAGAACTGTTCTTAAATCTAAATCTCAATATATTTTTTTGAGACCAAAATTTTTTTGTAGTCTTCAACAATCTCAGCTTTAAGGCACAAGTTATCATAGATCAGATTGATTCTGATAGTGGTGTAAAAATGAAACATAAGGATTTGTGATATCCATATAATGAATGGATGTAAACCCACCTGATATTATGCATTTAACCAAAAATTAAAAACAGTAATTAATATAATTAAAGATACTTCAAAACAGAACTTGGCAGATAAATTATAAGCCTTTCAGTTAGTTTTCTGATGAATACTAACAAAGTTATAAAAGTTATTATTTTTACCTGTTTCAGGTATAAACAACACAAAACGGACTATGAAGTGATTCCCAAAGACCGTCCCATTTGTGTGCCTTGTAGAGTGAGCCGTTGTCTGTGCCAGTCCTATCACTATGTCCCTCTAAATGGCACACAGCCCATCCGTTGCAGATGCAAACACTTTGCCGATCAGCACAGTGCAGCACCTGGATTTTCATGTAACTCTTGTAAGTTACTGATGGACTTGCAGCATTCTTTGCTAGGAAACTTGACAGGAACAGCATGTTAGGGATCTGTGTTCTGCCCAGAGTATTAAGCATGTGCTGCACTTTTCACTGATGTGTGTTTTGATCCTTGCAGAAGGATGGGAAATGGGAAGGAAGACATCACCTTTTGCAGAGGAGGGTTTAGAACAACATCCTTAGCCTCTGCAAGTTCTGTGAAGGAGCATAAGTCTCTGAATGATTGGGTTAGGTACATATGGAGACAGTCACCTAAAGTCAGGGAGTATGAAAGCACCTCATTTGCAGTTTGTCATTTCCACTGCTGCATGTGTGTGACTTTTCTACTTGAACTCGGTAGTTTGAGAGAGGGAAGTGTTGATCTCCGTTCCTCTGTTGCCTAGTTGAACATAATGTTAATGTATTTTTGTATCTTCTCTTAACTCAGTAAGTAGGAGCACTGTGTTCCCAAATAGTACTATTGTTAGCACTCGAACAAAGCCATTCCCGAGCATACAGATTGTGGGTCCGGAAATGCAATTGGGAATGGAGTTTCAAGCAAAAGGTTTGAGAAGGCATTAAGAGGAAGATTTTGCTTCAGTTGTTCCGAGGTTATCGTAATGAAATAGCAGTAATTATTAACCATAGAAACTAAATAATGCATAAAGGTGTTTTAGTTAGAAACCTTGTTACATAAGCTGAAGACTTTTTTTTTGTTAGGATTCTGTACTGTTAGTAAATTTCTTTCTGTCTAATTTGTACAGGAAAAATAATAAACTGCTTTCGCTGGATGAGAATCATATCCCACAGAATAAAGCAAAAAATATTTATATGACAGCCTTTCAAGAATTTGCTTTAAGTAATGTGAAAGTCTTAAATGTGCGATTGGATGATTCAGACTGAATCCTTAGAACGCAGTGTTTTTAATAATCATTTACGTTATGCACTTTTTCTAGTGTTTCTCAAAAATACCTGACACTTCGGAGGGCTTCAAAGATTACCCAGAGAAGTGCCAACACTTGCTTCTGCTTTGGACCTGGATTGTTTTAATATACTGGTATTAGTCTAGCCCAGTGCTGTGTAAATCTAATGTGATAGATGAATTAGAGATGTACTCTCTTTGTAACTGAAAAAATACTGCTGTTGCATTTTATATATCGTATATACTTTGTTCTGTATCCAAACACAGAGCTCTGTTACCGAGGAGTGCCCAAAATGGTATGAGAAAGCCTTTAACATTTCCAAGAATGTGATCCTTGAACATATTACCCAGGACTTATAAAAAATCTTTCTTGGTTCTCTGCAAAATGAACTGTAACTAGGAGTTGGAAGCAGGGTAATTTTTGTAGTGAAACGTTTGTAAAATCGGTTCCTCAATTTCTTATTTGCATCATTGCTCCAGCAGGGCCTTGGTGAGAGTCTCAGCTGTAGCTAGGGTAGATTGATCCCGTCACTCTGTGTTTCTGAATGTCACGTGTCATTTGTATAACTATTTCAGTTACATCCTGTGGCTGTGTAAGCTTAAATAACCCCTGAAAGTCAATCTAGTGGTGCTCTTATATAGAACCTATTTTGCTGTTGCTACAGCCTCTGTTCGCTACTCAGATAATTTTGATAATTTTAAAAGGCATTTAAATTGTGATTTGTATCATAAATTGCGATTTGAAGTTTTCTGGCCATGAAACGTTGACACGTGCTGTACACCTCTGGAGATAATACTGCCAAAATGCTGGCAGGTTTTCGTCTTTACCCAGTGACAGGATTTTTTCTCTTTTTAGTCAGGGAAGGGATGGAGAAGGGTGTTATTACTGGCAAGGAGCACAAGTTGCAACATAGGAAATCCAATTAGATATTAGGAAAGAAATGTCTGCTCCAATGGAACACCGACATTGGTCCAGGCTACTCAGAGGGGTGGAATCTCTGTCCTCAGAGGTACTCAAAACTTGACTGAGTGAGAATCTGAGACTGGATGACCCCTATGATCTAATCCCCACATTCATCCTTTCTCCTCTTTTATACAGTATTTTGATATCATGATGGAAAGAGGCTGTAAAAGGTTTCGGCAAAGACGGCTGATTGCTTTGCCCCTAATCACATATGTGCTTCCAGATAGAAAGCATAGGTGGATGTTTTTGCAGTGAGGGAATTCTAGTTTTTGTCAAGATCTGTTTAGGGAAACACCATTTTGTCTGCAATGAAGTATAAATTCCATTATCATCTCACTCATTGCACTTGTTTATTTGTTAATTAGGTTCCAAGTGTTCGGGCTTCCACAGTTGCTTTACCTGTGCATGTGGTCAGCCCACACATGCTCATGAAACGGTTGTGGAAACTAAACAAGAGCGCTTAGCCCAAGGAAAGCCTGTGGGGCAGGATGTTCCGTATGCTGCTATGGGAGGACTGACTGGTTTTAGTTCACTAGCAGAAGGCTACATGAGACTCGATGACAGTGGAATAGGTAAGTGCAGCTGAACTGAGCTGAAATTTTAATTCTCCAAGTGGTTTGTAAAAGTAGTGATTCAACATAGACTTTCAAAGTTCGAAGGCAAACTGGATCAACAGGAGTAGGACTTAAAACAGACTTTTTTTTTTCCCCAGCAGTCTTTGAGTGTGAAGAGACCACTATGACCATCTTGCCCAACTTCCTTTAGTGAATTGATAAAAACACTCTTTATCAATAATTCTGGTGTTCAGCCCAGTAACTTGGAAGTGCAAGGCATCTTTTAGAAAGAACTCTAACTTCTGCATTTCTTTTAATACTTCCATGTTCTATTGACATTAATCCTTTAGCCTAATACTGGCCAGTTTTTTCTTGGTTATATAGTTACAGCATTTTTTTTTTTCCAAACTCAAAGGTTAATAGCTGTTGAGCATAAAAAAAAAAGAGGTCATTTGTAGAAGACAGGTCTGTTAGTTGGCCTCGATACCTCTGCTGCTCTGTGATTTTGTTACATTTAGTAATGGACACATTTTGTCCTGAAATACTGTTTTATTTATTATTGCCATGTACTCATTATTTCTTTTTTAAATTCTGATCTGGTTTCCTGGATTTGTCAGAACTTTAGAGCATAGCCATAGTGATTAAAGAGACAAAGCTTTTCATTTCTTTTGGAGCCTTTTTTGCTTTTATAAACTTGAGTTTATGGTGTCTGCACTGAGTGTTGTAGATACTTATCTGTAGCCTGTTTTAACCCCATCATGTATGTTCTTAATGGATCTCATGAAGTTAATTTTTGCTTTCATTCCACTTGTTTTCTAACAGGGGCTCCTTCTGCTGAACTTTCAGAATCCACTGTTACCAGCATGGATCATCCATTTCTAAAAGCATTTCAGGGACCTCCTACTTCTGCTCAGACCATCTCACAGATAGCAGGTGCTTTATTAGTAGGATAATACTATTTCACAAAATGTATTTAATATAAAATTAATTGGTTTTATTTATGAGTCGAAGGATGCTTAGGGCTAAAATCAAAGTTAAAAATTAAAATGGGTATTGAAGCCTTGGTATGTGAAAAATTAGTACAACATTCAGGTACTTGAAGTACTTAGAATAACTGTTTTGTTACTGCTTGTTACTTTTGGTCATGATGTGCTTTTTTTCCTGCTAGAAGCTCATCATATCTGAATGGATTGTACATATTCAGCGCAATTCTGTGAAACTGACTTGTGCCAGAAAGTCTATTCTGTGTGGAATTATGGATCGGTTATGCTCATTTAGTATAAGAATTTAGCAATTAATATAACTGTTGAACTCCTCCAAGACTATTTATAATAGCTGCTAGCCTAGACTAAAGAGATTGCTTTTTGTTCCCAATTGCTGGGATTTGTTACTTGCCAAATGTAAAATGTGACTAATGGAATAGTAGGTATCATGACTGTAAAAAGTTTTGGGTTTTTTTTGTACTTAGGTTGTTCTAGTGCCACAAGGCAAATTTCTGATGGAAAGCATTCAGAAGATGACGACATGGCTTACTTTGAAAAACGTTATCAAGAACAGGCAAGTTACTACTTTTATTGCTTAATTCAAATACATTTTCACAAGAGAATGTCTAAAAAAGATAAACATATTTTTAAGTGGTATATAAATGCATTATATCATTTGTTCTCTTCCTGAGAAAACCCTAGCTTCTTTAAATAAAGTTTTAAATACAATTATGAGCTATTGCAGGATTTCAGAAGTCAGTCATGTCTGGGATGGTATTTACCACCTTAACTGGGCAGATTTTTATTGAGATTTTTATTTTTCTCCCTTGCAGAAAACCAAAATATTTTACTATATGACAAAACGAAACAACAAAGCAGACTTACAGAAAGTAACCTGTGACATTTAGGAGTGTGTGTTTGCTACCTCATTTATAAAACTTTATGATGTTCTTTTCATTTTGCATATCTGTGTAGTTGGGCTAAATCTGGTGAGTCTTTCTTAGATGAGCCAAATCACCCCATTAGAGATGCCTCTTTCACCCCACTGACTGTGTCGTAAATTTAAATGCCCTGTGGTGCAGATTACTTAGATGTTTGAATACTTATTCTTTCCCCACATTAGCTCCTTAGCTCCACCATCTCTGCTGGAAGTATGTCTTGACTGTTTATGAATTCTTTTGTAAGGCAATGTTGCATAATCAACTTTTAAAATCTTAACTGCTGTTACGCTCGCTGCTTGCAACAAAGTGTTTGTTCATGAGAAAGCTGTTCTAGCTCTGTGAAATTTTAAATAATTTTCTTTATTTTAGAAATCATCACAAAATATGGTAAGATGTCACAAATATAATACCAGTTTATAGGAGAAAACCTGTTACTATCTGTCGTGGTTTAGCCCAGCCAACAGCTAAACTACCATAAGGTCAGTTCGCTCACTCCTCCCCCTCGGTGAGGTGAAGCGGAGAAAAATGTAACAGAAGGCTTGAGGGTCCAGATAAGAACAGGGAGAGATCACCCACCAACCGTGGGACTCAGTTTGGGGACAAATCAATTTAATTTGTTAATGGTTTGTTCAGAGAGGATAACAAGAAACAAAGCCAGATCTTAAAAACACCTTCCCCCCCACCCCCTCCCTTCTTCCTGGCTCTGCCTCCTCCCCCAGCAGCGCAGGGGGACGGGGAATGGGGGGTTGCATGTCAGTTGGTCACACGTAGTTTCTGCCACTCCTTTCTTAAAGGAGGAGGACTCCTTACAGCTTTTTCCCCTGCCCAGTGGATCCCCTCCTCACGGGACAGCCCACAGACTTCTCCAATGTGAGTCCTTCCCGCAGGATGCAATCCTTACCCATCAGATTGCTCGAGCGCGGGTTTCTTCTCCACAGTCACGACTATTTAGGGAGCTGCCACCTGCTCCGGCGTGGGGTTCTCCATGGGCTTCAGATGCCTCTGCCTCATTGTCAGCCTCCAGAACCTCATGGAGACCGTTCTCTACGACCTCCTTCAGGCACAGCCATCTCTTCTCCAGCATGGGGTTCTCCACAGGCTGCAGGTGGATCTCTGCTCCACCGTTAATCTCCACGGGCTGCAGGGGAATCTCGGCTTTAGCCAACCCCGTCCCGCTCCATCTCTACTCACCTTGGAGTCTGTGTGGCCGTTTCTCTCAGGTCTCAGTCCTCTCTCTGCTGTAGCCTCGGCAGTCCCGACAGGACGAACTCGGTCCAGCAGGCGCCCTGGGAGCGGGGTGCTTTGGAGCAAATCCAAGCCGTGCTCCTGCAGCCATCTCCAGTTGGGTAGCGGCAGCCTAGTGCAGGCAGCTGCCCAGCCAGGGGCCCAGCCCCTGCCTCCCCCATCTCTTCAGTGGAGGTTCAGCCTCCATTCAGGCTTCTTTGTCCCCATCTTAAATAGTGCACGCACAGAGGCGCTGATTGGCTCGGCGCCGGCCTGAGAGGATGGGGTTCCGACCTGGCCAGAAGTTGGTCCGACCGGTTTTGGAGCTGGGGAAGCTTTTCACAGCTACTTACAGGGGCCATTTCCACAGCCCTTCCCATGCTACCAAAACCCCATCACGTAAACCCAGCACTACCAAATCCAAATTGTCTCGTTTCTTTTTACCCCTAAGATTTTCTTTTCTTTGCAAAAGGTAGTAGGAATTTCAGATACAAACCTCAAGCCTCCAAATACAGAAAAATGTTTTAAAATGAGTTCCTGTGTAGACCAATAACAGGATTTCTTAGCAGTGAGCTCATTTGTAGACACCCAGATCAGGACTTAGGCCTTGCTTCCTTTTGACACTATTTTATGGAGAAAAAAAAGTATGTTAAAATATTATGTTATTTCTTCATTGCATTTTTGATAGCAACATGATAACCTCTGTTAGATGAGATGCAAAAGTCCATGCATCCCTTTTATATAATTGCTCTAAATAGAATTTCATTCACTAATGTAACAATACTCGAGAACAACTGTTGCTTCTAAAAACAACAGATGTATTTGTTTGGATTAATAGTCTTACTACAAAGTGGCAGAGTTAAATGTATGTGTGTTGGTAAATCATACCATTCTGTAATAGCCTACTGTGTAGAAAAATCTTCTGAGAGGAAGACATGACGTTGTGGGTCAGTGAGGAGACACTGAGATCGAGGTTTAGCATCTACCTCAGCAACAAACCTCTGTGTGATTCTGTGCATGCTGGTTAGTCTGACTGTGACTGTTACACATCTGTAATAAAACAACTTTACCTTTCATTGCCTTAAAGATAAACCCATGAACATTTGTGAGGTCCTTTGGCCCTGAAGGATACATAAATACAAAGATTGACATCCTCAGAGATAAAGGCAGCCCTTGTTTGAATAGGGGAGGAGCTGCAGAGCTATAGAAGTGCTCCTTTGTCCTATGGTGCAAAAGTAAGCAATGCTAGGTTGGGTTAATAATGATCTGTAGCTCTCTCCATTGCATGTATCATCACTCTGCTAGATTTACGACTGGATGTAGAGATTTAACGTTGCATTACTAGCCGACTTGCAAATTAATGCTTAATCCACTGTTGGTGTCTTTCTTTGTTACAGCTGAAAAAGGAGAAGGCTGCTAAACGGAAAGAGAAAAGTCCAAAGAAGCCGTGAGATTAATAAAGAAATGTTTATTATATGGCATAGTGCTAATCCTTATATTGAAGAGTATGTTTCGCTGTGCCTACCTGCATACTTGTATTTCTTTGTTTCTTTATTCTGGTGTTTTGTTCTATTGCTGAAATTAAATTTTAATTATCTTGTAATAAAATTGGTACTTTAATCAATGCGTTTCTAATCTCTGGAATTGTTATATAGATATTCCTTTGAGAATGGAAAATAATATTTAGAGATTTACAGAACGGTTAGTTAAGATCTGAGAGAATAAGAATGTATTTAAGTATTACATTGCAGCAGGGCAAAGAAAATACATATCCTATTCTTAGACTTTTATGACGCACTTTCTTTATTTGTAGAGTCCTGATAACTCATCTTGTTAATGGGCTTTTACATGGTGGGATTTGTTCTTAGTGTTTTCTTTAAATGCTTTTTTTTTTCTTTCTGTTGGTTTTATCACCTTTACATAAAATTAAAACATACCCTTCTTCTCTCATGCTTCTCTAGGCTTTGTTTGTGCCAACGTATACATATTTTTTACACGTGAAGTTCTGTACGCATGTAAACACATTTCCACACACACTTAGTAGCTACTTGAAGGGATCCTGCTTGTGTACTTTATCCTGGATTTCCCTAGTGGTACCATTCTCCCAATTTTTTTGTCTGGTACTGTCCATAACAAAGATTCTATTACACTAAACTTCTGAAAACATTAAGAGGAAAAGGACATACTATTTATTGCATGTACACAAATAATTATATAGTGTTTGATATACACTTACTTATCCAACAGGTACTCTTTTATCATGTCTAATCCAACACAACTGAGTCCCTCAAAGAAGGGAGATGTGCTTTTGTGTTCTTTGTCCATATTCATAGCTGTGGCAGCATACGTTGTGTTAAAAGTAGGGGACAGAAAAATTTAAAATTAGGTAACTTTTTGTGGTGGTTTAAAGCTGCGAAGCAGCACAACAAGAACTCGGTAACTGGCAGAGACTGCAGTTTAAGAGGCAAAAGCAGAGCCTGAGCTAACTGCATTTGTCGTCTCCTTTGAAAACAGAGAGGTCTAAGTCGGTTTGTCCTTGAAAATACTTGAAGATGTCTCTTGGACTGAAGGCTTTTCAGGTGGTATGTGTGTACTGAGAATTCATAGCAAGAGTTGGGAGAAGCTGACAAAGCTCTGATTCCCGTCAGAACGCCTCTGTGTGCCTGATGCCTCCATGTGCCTGATCAGCAGAGGAAAAGAGGTGATGCTGAATGCCTTTGGAGCCGGGCAACTTGCTTTTTGTTCAGATGCCAGCTGTGGAAGGGGAGTTCTGGGGAGAGCATGCACGTCGTACCATGACTCATGGAGGTGGTCGGAAGCTGAGTGAGAAGGGAATGGGAGGCTCAATTGCCCAAATTCAAAGATTAAAAAAGGCCATTTACTGAGCTATACCACCATTACTACAGCCGCCAATCAGAGAGGGTAATCTGTTACTTTAATTTAAATGCATAATATATCAAAGTGTCTAACGAATGTTTTAAAAGTACCTTTACCTTTAAATTCCACACTGTAACATGCTGCTTTAACTTAATAAATAAAATTATTAATTTGAGCTTTCTCTTCTGGTCCTAATAAGCAATCTTTTCTACAGATACCCAGTAAATGGGGATTTCACAATACAGTTACAATAAACACATGAGTGTAAATAACATCAGTAAATAAATGGTAAATAAACATACAAAAATATTTTTATTACAGTCTTTAGAGAGATTATTACAAGCTTAATAGCGGAAGTTTGTTCTACTTCCATACTTATCTCTGTAGCTATACCCATTAGGGAATGCAGTTCCAGAAATCTATATATATATTTCAAAGAGGAGGTTTCTCACAGCAAAATATTAGCATAGACAGAGGTTTTAACAGTTACAAAAAACTCGTATTTTGTGTTTCTTTTTATACTGATAACTTTTTACTTTTAGGAAATAATGTATTGAGCTTTTATTGAAATTTTGATTTAAAAATACTTGTTAGTTTTAAATGTTTGCTCTGCCAAATTCAGTCTTACTAAACTGTACTTTGATCATCATGAACTGGTTTTATCAAAGTAAATTTTTAAAAATTTTATTCTGTGCTTAAACTTATTTAGAATTTTCACTTAAATTATACAAAAAAGTTATTACATTTATTTAATGATATTTCTTTTTAGTTGGAAAACAGGTGAGATCATAAAAATATCAACTGTGTTAAATACTGCTCAGAAATTCTAAACATTTTTTGCCCATATTGGTGATGTCCAAGTAAAAGAAACTCACTTTCCTTACTAGAAGGCGTACTTTTGACTTCTTGGTACTCAATGCAGTACATTTTTGTAGAATTTTTATTCATATTTATACATGAAAAACCACATACAATATCTCTTATAATGTTGCTAGCTGTGAAAACAAGACACTGATGTCATGTCTTAGTGAAATTTGCACTTAATTGAAATTATTTTTATCCTAAAAAAAAATTAATCATTTTGTAAGATTGAAATTGCAACCTTCAATTCTATTGAAAAATCTCTTTATACTTCTATTAAGAAAATTCTTGTAAAGGTAAAAGCAGAGACAAAATGCTAGTATGTTTGCCATTAACAGTGGTCATTAAATAATGATCTCAGTTTAACATGTACCCGTTGATGGTTTGTTTTCCTGAGAGCAGTCATGAACTTTGAGCATAGTATCGTGGGACAGGTAAGTTATTGGTTCATCTGTATGATTTATTAGTGGATGTATATCTGTCGTTCAGCTAGACACATTAACCGTTTCTGACTCTAATCCAAGGAATCTGGCATAGGAGAAATGATTTGTTGTCACACATGGAGTGCTCTGAGCTGTTAAAGCTTAATTGCGTAGGTCTTGGGCAATGCTTAAGCACTACTCATTTTTTAAATAGCTGGCTTTCAAATCAGTATTTTGCCATTATTATAACACTCCTAGAGCGTAGAACAGCATTTTTTCACTAGTTTTTAATTATCCTATGAAAAGGCTTGGATCTACCTTGGTTATTTATGATAGTGGAGACTGGTCAGTGATCCTAAGTGGAGGCAAGGGGCTCCTTCCCCTTCTGTGCGTCTCTGATAATAAATATAAAATGCGTCTGCCTGTTTCAGGTTTGGGAGGAAGGGGAATGTGATGTGTGAATTCACAGCCAGCACAGCCAGTAACGGCATCCGTGCGGAATTACTTTGTCAAGTTGTCAGTGTCTTCACAGCATGTTGTGCATATTAAACGGTTTGCAGGTCTCATGTCTGTATGTCCCTGGAGTCTCTCCCAGTAGTTTAGTTACAGCCATGTAGCCTAAGGAAAGAGACAACTTTGCAGGTAGTGATAATATTTTTTCTTAGCATAAATGCAATTTAAAACAACAAAGCTTTTCCAGTCTAAAAGACCTTGCACAGGTGTACCTGCCTTTTTTTTTTTTTTTTTTTTTTTAAAAAAGAGACTCCTTTTGTCTAGAGGCCCACTCTTGCTTTAGAGCCCTTTCTGGAAGAGTAAATCTTTATTTGCTTTGCCCTGGTTTTAGCCCTAATTTTACATTCACTGTACCTGTGCTGGTCAGCCCCGGCTGAGCACTCAGCGCATGTACTCCTTCAGTTACCTCCCTAGGGAAGGGCCTGGAGCCAAGCCTAAGATGTCGCCGGTGTGACACTGGCACTCCTGCCTCGCTCGTGGCTTCCTCGGTTTTCCTTTTTATGTTAAATAAGACAGGAAAATTGCCAATCGCCGTTTGTGAAACCAAAAGATGAGCACGGACACATGGCACCAGGGGAACCGGATGAGTTTTTTTTTTCTCGCGGGCCGGGCGGGGGGGCGGCCGCCAATGCAGGAGCCTTCCCGCGGCTGTTTCGCTGGAGCTCCAAAAGCAGGATCGGCGTGCGCTGATCGCCGCCCTTTTGCGTGGGGAAGGACGCACCCGGCCATACCATGACACTTACGGGTTTGCACAAAACACCTGAGGCCCACGCCCCTGCCGGGGCTCCC